CGAGGGTGCAGGCCATTTTCTCGCACGCTGCCGGAGATAACAGCACCCTCCTGAGCTTCAAGGAGGGGGACCTCATCACGCTGCTGGTTCCAGAGGCCAGGGATGGCTGGCATTACGGGGAGAGCGAGAAAACAAAAATGTGAGTGCCACGGCCATCCCCGGGAACCGCCGCGCCCCGGCGCAGCCTCGTCTGCATCCCCCAAAAATAACCGTGGGTTTGGCTTCACCCCCTGCCTTTGCCTTTCAGGAGGGGCTGGTTTCCTTTCTCCTACACACGGGTTCGACAGCGATGGCAGCGAGCGGGTCCATGCCAGGTAGGAGCATCGCGTGGGGGCCGTGCAGGGTGCGCCCCTCCCAGTGCAGGCTTGTGGGCTCGGGGTGGGAATATTTTGCTCCCTCCCCCTGGACACGATGCTGGAATAACTCCCAGCACAGGCACAGGGAAGCTGCCTTGGGGGGTTTTTGACTGTGGGGTCCCCCATGGTGCATGGGCATCCTGGGGGTCTCATCCTGGGGTGGGCTGGTGCTGACCCTCTGCTCTGGGTCCCCCCCACCCAGCCTGCAGCAAGGGAAGAGCAGCAGCACCGGGAACCTGCTGGACAAGGACGACATCGCCATCCCGCCACCCGACTATGTTGGCCTCGCAAGCCTTCCCGGCACAGGGCAGCAACACCTTCAAGCAGAGGCCGTACAGTGTGGCCGTGCCTGCCTTCTCCCAGGTGAGCCCGCGGGGGTGCTCCCGCGCCGGGGGGGACTTTCTACAAACGGGAGATGCTTCAGCAAAGCCTGGGCGTTAGTCCTGGCTGGAGCCGGGCACGCGGTGACCTGGGTGTCGGCAGCATCCCGGGTATCTGAAGCGTCCCCATCCCAGCCGTGGCTTTAAAGCAAAGGATGGGATGTGCAAAAGTGTGTTGTCGGTCCGGGTGGAGGAGGGCTGCTCTCCAACCTGTGTTCGTTGTTTGTAGGACTACCTAATGCCCTACGGTTGTGCAGTTAAAGACTATTCCAGTGGCCTCTGCCAACCGCCCTCCGCTCACTACAAGCCTTACACTAGGTCGACAGCTGTAAGTCCGAACGCACGCAAGGTGCACGCAAGGTTTCCCTTGGGATTTACGGGCTGGTTTTGCCTGGTGACCCGTGTGCCTTGCCTGGGATCCCATCTCCTGCTGAGCATCTCACCTGAGGGAGAAGGGCCAGGGATGCTGGGAGAGATGGGGAGGACCGGCTGGTTTGGCTCGCCTGGGCAGAACGGGCAAGGCACCGGGAGCGAATGGCACAAATCGGCACTGTAAACCCCCAGAGGACAACGCTTGCCGACTCCATGGGAGCCTCCCACCAGAAACAAGCCGTTCACAGGCAGCTGGAAGCGTTTTCTCGGGCACGTGCCGGGTCAAGGCAGGGATGGTCCCGTGGGAGCGCTGGAGTGAGCGTGTGGGGCTGGGGCAGACCCCGGCCAGGGCTCCAGCAGTTCTCCAAAGTGAGCTCAGGGCTTCTCGGATAACACGCTGGGGAGGATGGATGTGTGGGAGAGGATCCGCTTAACCCAGGAGCCGCTCCCTGGGGGGCTTCCCCGCCTGGGTCTCTGATCCCTGGTGCGTGACCAGCTCAGAGACCAGTGTCTCCCAGTCTTTCCTGGAGCCATCCTGTGTTTGCCATGGAGAGCAGAGCTGCTCCGTGGCTGTATCCCAGGGCAGGTCCTCACGCAGGGAGTGACATCCTCGAGGGACAGCCCGGTCCCTGTCTCCTCCTTGGCAAAGGCCATTCGGTACCGGCTGCAGGAGAAAATGGTCCAAAACCCTGTGGGTTTCTGGTGGGAGTTATACAGACAAACACCTCTCTCCACAGAACATTTCACTGGTGTCTCTCAGACGTGTCCGATCCCTTTTCAAGTGTCTCACAAGGTGCTGGAGCTCCGTCCCGCAGACCGGGGCTGTCCCGGCTGTTCTGTCCCAGAATAAAGTCCTGCTCCGAAGAGAGCGGTGCAGCTTTACTCTCTGCTGTCTGAATCCCATTTAAACATCTCCATATCTCCCTTTCCAAATGCATTGGCTCCATCCCCGGGTCCCGATGCACTTTGGTCTGTTCGTATGACCGGCCGGTGGCACCTGCACGGGCTCAGCCCACGTCCCCCCGCTCACCGTCCTTCCTCCCTCCTCTCTGCAGGGTCTCGATGACTACGGGTCGAGGTCCGTCAGCAGGTAAGACTTTGCCTTCCCGTCGCGTTACCTGAAACTGAACCGTTGGGGTGGGCTGGGGAGCGCAGCTGCGGTGCCGTGTCCCCATGGTGTCCCTGTGGCATGGCTGGGACGGGGCTGCGTGCGGTGGGGGTCTCGTCTGTGAGCACAGAGGGACCCAGCATCTCCTGAGGTCCT